TTACTGTAGCTTTTATAGGTAGTATTGAAGTTGGGTAGCATTGTCCTTCGGTATTATGTTGGCTATTTTGGGTCTCTTGCCTCTCATGTAAACTTTAGAATCAGTTTATTGATATCCAGTAATAAAGTAATTTATGGGATTTTGATTGGGATTGCATTGAATCTATAGGTCAAATTGGGGAGAATTGGTGTTTTGATAATAGTGAGTCTTTTGTGTGAACATGGACTATCTCTTCATTTATTTAGTTCCTTGATTTTATTTATCAGAGTTTTATAGTATTCCTTATGTAGATATTATGGATGTTTTGTCAGATCTATACCTAAGTATTTCATTTTCATAGCTGCTATTATATATAAATGGTATTGTTTTTAATTTCAAAATATACTTGTTCGTTGCTGATATATATGACTTTTGTATGTTAACCTTGTGTCCTTCAACCTTGCTGTAATCACTTGAGCCCTAAAATTTTTATAATTGAGAAATCACTGATAATCTAAGATTTGCATATCATATTTTGAAGGTCATTTGAATGGTCTTAAAAATGGTCACTAAGCATTATTGTAGAATATTTTGTAGAACTTTCCAGAAGCTGAAAAATTTGCTTGATTCTTTTGTTCTATCTGTTCTGACTTTTTTTTTTAAAGATTTATTTATTTATGCATACAAGAACTGGGGTACAGGCCAGAGGTGTGGGGAGGGGGGTGAGAGGATTCACCAGAGACAGAGTGGGGAACATAACAGGCATATTGACTGAGAACACTGCTGAAGGGAGCAGCGAGTGAGACAGGAGAGGTCTGCTGCGCCATGTGGGTAGCTCCCTGGCCGCCTGGGGATCAAACTCATGCTGCAGAGGCTGCGATAGCTTCATTGTGCTGTGGTTAACCCCTTGCACCACCAAGAGGACCCCTATTCTGGCTTTTTCAATGTCTTAGAATAAAACAAAGTCTGACCTCTATGCAGAAAAAGTTCATAGTAGTTTGATTCATAATAGCCAAAGAGGGGGTAATATCCCAAAGGTCCATCAGTTGGTAAATAGGTAAACAAGTCATGGCCTGTCCAAATAGTAGAATAGTATTCAGCAGTAAAAGAAACTTATTATTGATAGCAGCAATAATCTGGAACAACCTTAAAATCATCTTGCTAAGTTTAGGACCCTACATAAGCCTACATGCTGAATAATCCTACTTACATGACATTCTAGAAAAGCAGAAGTATAGCACAGAAAACAGATGGATGGTTGCCTGGAGCTGGGTGTGGGGAGGATGAGGGAACTTTTGGGGATGATGGAAATGTTCTGTATCTTAATTATAGTGTATCTTAATTGTAGTGTGCTTTTGCCAGAACTCACAAACCATGTGGTTAAAATGAGTGGGTTTTATTGTGTGTAAATCATACCTCAATAAACCTGATTAGAAAAAAGAAAAAAAAAAAGGCAGATTTAACCAGGAAACATGACTTTATTAACAAATGGTACTGGAACGGCTGAATATCTGAAGGCAAAAAAAATGAACCCCAACCCCTCTACATGGAATGCCTGTACTGAATAGTGGCTGAACTTCTCCATATTTGGTATATTAGTTTCCATTTCTTAGTGCATTAAGTCCTCACTTAATAGTTGTCCATAGTTTCTTGGCAACTGCGAGTTTAAGTGAAACAACATATTTGTTTTTTTCTCATCAAGGTGGTAACAAACAGTATTGAAAGAAACTGTTACCTGAGGACCTGCTGTACTCTTCAGTTCTCACTGTTTTGATCACTTTTGTCTATAATCCATAGTAAGCAAATGCCCCTCCCTGCTGCATACACACTGTAGTCCAAATGACAAAGTAAATATATTAATCAGGATTCTCCAGAGAAACAGAACCAATATGATGTCTGTGCATATTTGTGTGTGTGTGTGTGTGTGTGTGTATGTATAGAGATTTGTTACGCAGAATTAAGTTACATGATTATGGAAGCTCAGCCCAACAGAGCTGATGTTATATTCCAATCCAAGTTGTAAGGCTTGAGAACCATCAGAACCAATCTGTAATTTCTAGCATGAATCTGAGTCTGAAGAGGCTGGTAATGTCCCAGCTTGAAGACAGGTACAAGGAAGTTCTCTCTTCTCCACCTTCCTGTTCTGTTCAGGCCTTCAACAGATTGGAAGAGGCCCACTACCAGACTGGGGAGGACCATCTGTTTTACTCAATCCACCATTAAATTCTTAAGCTCATCCAGAAACACCCTCACAGACATGCCCAGAATAATGTCTAATCAAACATCTGGGCACCTGCGGCTGTCAGGTTCACACATGAAATTAACGAGTGAGCACCATTGCTTGATCTTCCTACAGCTGTCAGTTCTGCTGTAAAGATGTGGAAAATACCTCGTTGTGGGTCCTATCACGGTTTGGCCCTGTGGTCCTCTCCTGCAGATCGGGATGACTGATGACATGTCAGGCGACATGTACCTGCATGTGAGGGGTGCAGCCCTCCGCTGTCTGCCGCAAACCACTCTGTCTTCCCCATCATTTTTGCCTGCTCTCGCGTGAAGTCTCCTTCAGCCCAGTGGCATTACTCGGGCCATCAGCACAAGGTTTTTGCCTCATGGGCTGCTGCATCTGCCCCTGGCATCATACCCTGCCAGTTGTGTGCGTGAAAAGCAATGTTTAACCACTCTATCTGGAGCTAAGAGAACTCTGCCTGGCCATCGTGGCTGGTTTATGCCTAACTGGATTCTTCTGTCACTTGTGTTTATGAGGGTATTTGACAAAGCCCTTGTAGAAAAGCTGCCCCAGGTGAGGAAGCTTCTGGTTGAACTCCGCTGTCAGTTCTCCCACTGGAGGCTGAAACCTGAGGTTGCCAGGCAGCAGCCATAGTAAATTGCTCAGGTGTGAAGCCTCTGCATGCTCTTCTTTTGCAAAACTTGTAGGACTTTGTATTGACTGCTGTTTGAAGTAGCAGGAAGTTTACATTGGGAAATAATGCTTTTCTTGTTTGAATGTGAAGTTTCCTTTTGAGATCAGTACATCACTCCCTGACATGCTTTAAAAAACAGTCAGGATCATGATTCACGTCTCAGCCTTGCTTCTTGCACTTGTCTGTCCACACTTGTGCTACTCGCATCCCCCGAAGACCCTAAAGTGTCACACAGATTGTCAGCTTGAGCTGCCTGGGTAATGGGTCACAAATTCCTAGACGTTCCACTCCCCATAAAAAAGTTAGATTTGTTGGCCATGCTGGCAGTTTCCCCCCCTCTTTTCTTCCTCTGCAATTCTAAGAAACTGAACTTAAGATCACGCATGTTTAAAGTAGCCACAGTGCTGTCCTTTCAAAGGAAATGGCTCTCAAGTCTAGTTAATACATTCAGCCCATCTTGTTTCCACAACTACCGTTTATGCGGCTTGTTTGAGGTTGGAAATGACAACACAAAGGACTGTCCTGGCACCTTGATGTTAAAAATGAACCGTAGCCTCAGCCTCATTGGTAACTGGCCTCGGCCAGGCGATGAGGCGCTCAATACCTTGACTTGAAAAGGCCTGGAAAGGGCTGCAACCGAAGCAAACCTGGTTCCCTGGCTGCACCCCAGAGCAGGACAGGCTTCCAGGACTGGTCTCCACACTGAATGAGCAGACTCACAGTGTTTTCATGCACCTCTCCGCCACCCTCATTATACATGAAAAGAAATTTTCATGTTTGGCTAATAAAAACACTTTGGGCACAGCCAGCCTCTTGAACTTTTGTGTAAGGTTATAAAGGTAGGTTATGGCTCTGACAGTCGATTCTGATTTTAGCCTCCGCTGCTCTGTTTGCTCTTTCTTATATAACACCTCCTTTCTTTGCCCCCCCTCCTGCCTTTTGCTTCATTCATTCAACAATACCTCTTGGCAATTCCAAGTCGACTATTATTGCTCTAATTCATTCTTTTCTCCCCATTTTTTTATTATAGTAAAATACACATAATACAGTAACCATTTTTAAATGTACAATTCAGGGGTTTGTAAGTGCATTCACTTTGTTGTGCAGCCATCACGCCAGTCATTTACAGAACTTTATTTTCCCTAACTGCGCGCTGTCCCCAGGAGATGGTAGTGCCCTCTTCCTCTGCGTGGAGTTCATGCTGAGTAAATGACCACATTATAACCTGGGAGTTTTCCCTGCAGCTCCCTGCTGCGGGAGGCCGCACTGTTCACACTGAAGGGCAGTCTGCATGATGCAAGTTATAAGTCTCAATATAAACCAGTTTAATCAACTTGCTCATTTTTTGTTCAAAACTTGCTGGTCTATTCTACTGATATGAAGGGCCCTGGCAGGACTTTTGGGACCTGAGAGCTTCTCTAGGGTGAGGAAGGGGATGCACGTGGGCCCGAGTGGGGGCTCCTGGTTCTTCATCTTGAGTAATCAGCACTGACCAGTCACACTGAAGTCGGTCATGGACTAGGAACAAAACTTTGATGTGAAATGTATTAAAGACTACAGGATTGTGATTTGGCATGCTAATACCACCACATGAAGAACAAATTAGAGCAACTCTAATTAAAGATCTCTTATTAGAAGACATGCTTTCTTTGAACTTGAGAACCATATTCGGGACAGCTAGCAAATATTTGATGAGTCCATCTCACCCCTGTCAGGGCACAGGCTGGGAGCCAGCACTTGCTGGGGAGCCTTGAGCGCCAGCCTCAGCCCCACCTTGGTTCTGTCTCCAGCAGGGCTTGTTTTGCCTTAATCACTGCTCTCAGCTTCTTTTGGCTCCAGCACTAGAGCCTTTGTCTTGTGGGGTCCAATAAGCCTGCAAACCCTGGCCTAGGAGGGACAGAGACACAGAAGTTAGTGTCTGAACTTCCAAGGATCGAGGTCTTTCCATGTTCACCAGATTGAAGCTTGAATAGGAAGAAACTTGCACATGTGACTTCAGTCCCTGGGGAGAGCTGGGAAAATTTGGGTGTGCCTGTGTAAGTGTGATGTGTGATGTCCTGTCGTGACTGGCTCATAAATACTTCTTACATTGGCATGCCACTCAGCTTCAGAAAGGGAGGAACCGCTGTTGTGTACAACAGCATAGAGGAATCTCCAAGTAATTGTGATGAGTGGAAGATCACAGATCAAAGTAAGTACATGCCATGTGTTCCATTTATGTAAAATTCTAGAAAGTGCAAACTAACATAGAAATAGAAAGCAGATCAGCAGTTGCTGGAAGGAAGGACCAGGCTGGGGAAAGGTTTGTAGTGGCACGGGTCCCCTTGTGGAGTCGGGGAGATGCTCACAGTCTGCCTGTGGGGATGGGGGCCTGAGTGCACATACCTCAACTCAGCAAACCAGGCATGTTAAGTAAGTGCAGTATTTTGTGTATTATCTGTACCTCAGTAACACTGTTTTAGAAGAAAGAACATTTTTAACAGTAAGAAAGCTGAGGGAGTGGAGAGGAGGGGAACTGGATTTTTGTCAGATCTGAGGTCAGATGTTGATTTGACATCTCTGAGCCTCAGATTCCTCAACCCTGAGATGCTGAGGCTGCGCTGAGAATGTGTGTGGAGGGCACGTGTGGAAGTGAATGTGCGGCACATAGTAGTAGCTTCGGACAGCAACTGCCATTTGTGCTATTGTTATTATCCTAAAAATATGTCACCATATCTTTTCCTGGCAATTACACTGGAGTCTTAACTAAATTATCTGTAAAGAGAGGGGTTTTACAAAAGGTTGGCAGTGCTGTATTTGTTAATGTGTGCGTGTGGCCTCTCAGCTGAAACGTTAGCTAAGTGCTGGGTCAGCAGCCCGGAAATGGTCTCATCTGCTTCTCACACTGCAGGTACTCAGAAGATTCTTGACCGTGGCCTTGGGTGTGACTCTGATTTCAAGTCCACTTTGCTTATCAATGTTCATCTTTTTTAAAAAAAAAAAGATTATACAAGAACCAGGATACAGGCCAGATATTTGGGAGGGTGAGAGGATTCACCAGAGACAGAGCGGGGTAACAGAACATGCAGGCTGATGAAATACACTGCTGAGGGAAGAGCGGGTGAGACAGGAGAGGTCTGCTGTGCCACATGGGACCCTTGCAGGCCAGCTGGGAATGAACCAGCGCTGCAGAGGCTGTGGACAGCTTCATAGCACGGTGCTCAACCAGCTGCACCACCAGGGGAGGCCTTCAGTGTTCATCTTAAAGTGGGAAACTAATCCCTCAAATCATTTGATGTTTTATTTTTCCTGTTGTTGCTTTCTCAGCTCTCAGCAAACTTTTTTTTTAAACGTCATCTCAAAAAAATGTTCACTGTCATATCCTTAAGAAGGTGTGATCTTGAAAAACTTCATGACATGGGTACTTAGGATCTAATTTTAAAAACAAGTTGTAAAAGTGTATAATTATAACTGTCCTCTGGTCTATAGCTGCTATAGCGTTGCCGTCCTCATTATTCACACCCAGACACCCAGAGGGAGCTGGTCACACCATCTGGCAGCTGTGTGCAAAGCACACTGTTTCACCTCTGTCAGCTACAGCTACATTAGCTCTTGTCTGGCCTGAATCTCTCCAGACACAAGGATTGGCCTCCCTGTTCCCCAAGAGCTGGCTGGGCCTGGTGGTTACCCCTACCCATGGAGTGAGGACCCCTACACTCACATTGGCATACTTCTGCTTGTTTTTGAAGATCAGGCAGCCCTTCCCCATCTTCAGTTGTAGAACTGCTGCTGCTGCTTGGCTCCTCCCCAGGGAGCACTAACAGTGCTAGAGCCCAGAGCCCTCGCGGGGGCCCCCTTTCAGCAGCTTGATGGGCCTCTACTCCCACTGACCTTGTGCTCAGCCCTGATAATGGTGTGGGCTCTGCCTCTCCACCCAGGGAGCAAGGGTGCATGGCCACACTGTGTCTTTACCCATATGCTGGGCCCAGGCTCTTGCAAGTTTACCCGTAAGTGTAAGTTTGGGAGAGGTAAGTTAATATTTAAGTGTATACAGCAAAAGGGTTTTTCTGGGTGTGGGTTTGTCTTTATCATTTTTAAACCGTAGCTTGTACTAAGCTTTAATATCCATCACCATTTGTTTGTTTTGACACCTTGCGCTCTCTTCATTGTCCACACGTCTTCCCCAGAGCCCCATGTGCCTGGTCTGTTAGGCTCCCCACTTCTCACTGTCATGATAAGGGTCTCTGCCACCTCCTCAGTCATACTCATCCTTTCTGGCCCTTCTAGGCAGTATCAGGCACATCACTCAAAGTTCTGGGCTGCACAGCCCAGCAGAAAGACTTTCAAAGGGACTGGGGAGGAGTTGGGAGGGAAGAGGCAGGGACACCAAAGGAGACAGAGGATGCAGGACATCACAGCACATGGGTCAGTGCCCCTGCCGTGAGAGGAGCCTCAGTGGACCTGGGTCCTTAACTTGGTCTTTCATTGCCTTTCCAGGTTCCCGAGAGCCCACCATCCCATCTCTACATGAGGCTGAAGTGAGGGTGTCTAGGAGAAAGGGCTTTGCCCTGCCCAGGGCCAGAATGACCAAGCCCCGGCTCTTCCGCTTGTGGCTGGCCCTGGGGTCGGTCTTCATGATCCTGCTGATCATCGTATACTGGGACAACGTGGGCACTGCCCACTTCTACCTGCACACAGCGGTCTCCAGGCCGCACTCTCCAGGGCCCCTCCCCACCCCGGGGCAGGGGCCGGAGAAGGAGCTCTCAGCTGATGTGGATGAGTTTTTGGAGAAGCTCCTCAGTTCTGACACGAAGCAGAATGTCCTTTCCAGTAAAAAGACGGAGCAGCCGCCACCTCCCGTCTCCGGCAGACCCGTGCTGGGCAACATGGAGGAGAGCGTGCGGGGCTACGACTGGTCCACCCACGACGCCCAGCAGAACCCGGACCCCGTGGAGCGGCAGGCGGAGAGGAGGAGCGTGCTGCGGGAGTTCTGTGCCAACGCCAGCTTCGTGTTCCCGGCCAAGGAGCGCTCCTTCGATGACATTCCCAACTACGAGCTGAACCACCTCATCGTGGACGACCGCCACGGCGTCATCTACTGCTACGTGCCCAAGGTGGCCTGCACCAACTGGAAGCGCGTGATGATCGTGCTCAGCGAGAGCCTCCTGGACCAGGGCGTGCCCTACCGCGACCCCCTGGACATCCCACGGGAGTACGTGCACAACTCCAGCACGCACCTGACCTTCAACAAGTTCTGGCGCCGCTACGGGAAGTTCTCCCGCCACCTCATGAAGATCAAGCTCAAGAAGTACACCAAGTTCCTCTTCGTGCGGGACCCCTTTGTGCGCCTCATCTCGGCCTTCCGCAGCAAGTTTGAGCTGGAGAACGAAGAGTTCTACCGCAAGTTCGCCGTGCCCATGCTGCAGATGTACTCCAACCACACCAGCCTGCCCGCCTCGGTCAGCGAGGCGTTCAGCGCGGGCCTCAAGGTGTCCTTCTCCAACTTCATCCAGTACCTGCTGGACCCCCACACGGAGAAGCTGGGGCCCTTCAACGAGCACTGGCGGCAGGTGCACCGCCTCTGTCACCCCTGCCAGATCGACTATGACTTTGTGGGGAAGTTGGAGACGCTGGACCAGGACGCTGCCCAGCTGCTGCGGCTCCTCAAGGTGGACAAGAACCTACACTTCCCCCCCAGCTACCGGAACAGAACTGCCAGCAGCTGGGAGGAGGACTGGTTCGCCAAGATCCCCCTGGCCTGGAGGCAGCAGCTGTACAAACTCTATGAGGCAGATTTTGTTCTCTTTGGCTACCCCAAGCCTGAGAACCTGCTTAGAGACTAGAGGCCTTTAGGGGGACATCCTGGACACCAAAAAAAAAAAAAACAAAACAAACTGTGCTGATGTTGTGACTTCAAATGAAGGGTCTGCTGAGCCATGGCCATATTCCTGAGGGCGGAGTGACCAGTGACCACACATATTTTCCTAGGACTTCGCTTCCTTCCCGGTTTGGCACTTTGCAGTTCCGCAGTGCTCCTGGAATTGGCCACACCCACACTCCAGTTTTTAAAATAATCTACGATTTTGCAATCTAGACTCATTGTTGACTCCACTGCCTCTATTCATTGAGTACAGTGTTAATATTGTTTTTTTAAGATTAATATATTTCAGATATTTAATATGGAAAGTGGCGAGGAGAATAATGGAGTAAAGAGTCGCATCTGCTCTGCCTGCCCTGGTGCTTATTCTGGTGGTGAGATCGCTGCAGGAGTGGTGATGGCTGACAGCCAGGCCCCAGAAACTCGACTCTAGGAAGGGAGATTTGAGGTTTTCCTGGGTTGTCTTCAGCAAAAAAGGAGCATAAATTTGAAATCAGGCCTTACCTGTCTCTGTAAAAAGGTAGCAGACAAACCCTTCAAAAGTGAAAGCCCTTTATTGTGTGATAGAGCTGCACAGGGAACATGGTTAAGCAAGGGTTTGGTATTTGAGATCCAGTCAGAGGAAAACTGTCCTTCCAGGTCACAGTTAGAGCAGCGGGGTTTTAACTCCAACTGTCCCCTTTCATTTTTAGATCAGGGCTGGGTGCAGGTAGGAATTCACCCTAGGGTCCGTTTCTCCGGCATCAGCAAGGTGAAGCCCAGAGTGATTGGGCTATGGCGTGGCTGCTTGGCCTCAGCTCCATGAGGATCCCCTTGAGGACGTGACTGCACCTGTCACCATTGTCTGTTCTAGTCTCGGGAGACTCTCTTTCAACATCTGGGTCACGTTCCTTTGCAGTTTTTGCTGTGAGTCTGTAATGGTGAGGAGTTGACAGTGATTGTGTGGTTTTTGGGTGTCACGTTTGACCTTGTCTTTTTTGTCTGTAGCATTTGGTCAGCAGTGCCCACAGAGGTGTGGGCAGTGCACTTAGAAAAACTCCACTTGAGTCTGAGTGTGCGTGTCCCTGCTTTTCCTGGCTCAGAGGTGGTACTGAGACTCCCTTCCCAGACTTGAGACTCCCTGGTGTTAGAAACCATCTGCTTTCCTTTGTATGAAGCCCTCATTTTTATTTATTATTTATTTTTTTAAAAGATTTATTTATTTTTATACAAGAGCTGCGATACGGGCCAGAGGCACGGAGAGTGAGAGGATTCACCAGAGACAGAGCAGGGAGCAGAACAGGCAGACGACAGAAATACACTGCTGAGGGGAGCAGCGGGCATGACAGGAGAGGTCTGCCGCGCCATGTGGGATTCTCGCCAGCTGACTGGGATCGAACCCACGCTGCAGAGGCTGCGAACAGTTTTACAGTGCTGTGCTCAACCTGCTGCGCCACCAGGGAGGCCCCCCTCATTTTTATAAAAACAAAACACAGCAAAGATACTAAACCCAAGGAGTCCAGTTTTAGAATAATTAGCTGCAGGACCACTGTCGTCTGGCTCTCTGCCTGGACACCTGTTCCCCCAGAAATTGTCTGTCACTTGTACACCAGCTGGGCGTTAGATCACCAAGTGGACAAGGTGGCTCTGCCTTCTGGGAACTTCGTGATCTAATGTGTGAGAGAGTGGGACCCCGTCCTACACCAGTGCCTTCAAGGACAGTGTGTCAGGGGAGAGCATGAAGGCAGGCCTCCTGAGAAGGAAGTGGTCTTTGGGCTTGACCAGAAGGGTGGGTGAGGTTTTGTTGTTCAGGGTAGCGTGGGTAGCATCATGTATGGGGATGGTAGGTAATACCTGCTGGCATTTATTGCTCCTTTAATCTCCTCTCTGAGATTATTAGTGTCTTCTCTAGTGACACAGCAAGCAAAGACTAGGGAGAGGCAGGACCTGGAACTGGGCGCGACTGCAGCCATGGTGGGTGCGCTTCATCCCCACCCACAGGGACCTGCCAGGTCGCAGGCTCTGAGAGGAGACGGGGTGTGGAGTCTGGCGCCTTGACAGGACAGGCCAGCAATTGAAATTTCACTTAAAAGGCAGCAGCGAGGTGTTGAGGTTTTGGGCTGGAGGAGTCTGGGTGCTTTGGAGTCTGTCTGATGTGGGTGTGTGGAGTGAAGGGACAGAGAAACCAGTCAGCAGGCAGCTGTAGGCACCCGCAGGGAAGGGGCCACACCCGGGATGTGGGGTGAAGAAGATGTGGCAGGGCCTGGTGACTGGAAGGGCAGGTCCACTCTGGGGAAGAGGTGCCACCTTTTCCTTCTGGCCTTTTCTCAGGTATGAGGAACGGGGCTGGGAATGCCAGAGATGGTCATTACTTAGCAATACGTTTCCCTGGGGGCAGGGTCAGCCAAGTGCTTGATTACAGGGAGGCTGCTTCATGCCTCTGCAGGGCAGGGTCTTCCCTGTGAAGGAAGAGAGAAGCAGGAAGAAATTAGGAAAATGTAGCAAAGACCTTTCTTCTGATCAGTAACTTTTTATAAACCACTCTGTGTGAAACACAGATTTGACCGGTGCCTTTGTCCTGCAAGTCACATGTCACAATGTTAGAAGTGAGTTGAGAGAATGTCTTGAGAAGAGCGCATGGAACAGTTTCATCTGCCTTACGGATACCTAACACTGTGGGTTTCACTCCTGTGTTATAATTTTGAGTAATGTATTCTTCCGAAAAAGCCATGATGTTTAAAGTAACCACCTCATGATTTCACAGTACCTCTTACCCATTGGGGTGAGCCTGGCACTCCTTCTGTGGTGTTCAGACAGACCTCAGACACACCAGGCAGTGAGCAATTCAAGGACAAGACGCGTCTCATTTGTGGCTTTATCGCTGGGTCTTCTCAGTGTTTTCCTAGGTTGACTTTCCTGAGTGTCAGGGACACATTTGCAGGGCTGTTGGAGGGCTGTTGGAGGTCCAGGGGCTGGTTGGAGAAAATGCCAGGTGCATCCACACACCCACCCATGTGCCCTTGCCAGGTCCCAGCTGCTGCCTGAGGCTGAGGTCCAATGGCAGAGAAGGAAGACGGACTCGAGGGAGAGAGGGGAGTCTCCCTCAGCGCCTTCCTGGGCCGTGTGCCTGGGAACTCCTATTCCTCATTCTTTGCCCTTTGCCTAACCACAGAACAATATCTTGTAGAGAAGTTGAGCTCTATATCGTTTTTTCTGCTAAGAAATACTATTAAAAGTTTTTAAATTGATATTGTACAGTTAGATAATTTAACCAAACAATTCCATGAACTTAACATTCTTGAACTGTTTGCCTCTGGCCTCCAAGTCTCATCAGTACATTTACCCCCAGTCCTAATGATGCTGTGGTTTGTGGCACAAAATGATGTGCCGGGTATCCTTCCTGCGTCTCCAGCGTAGTGGCCAGCGTACTATGCCCATGTACAGTCAGGCAGCGGGGTGCGGGGGGCTCGCCCCACACCTGAACCGGCGCCAGGCCCCACCTGTCCTGGACTTGGGCCTCCAGCCTAGGGCGCTGTGCATCTTGTATCTCACCAGGTATTTGGCAGGGTTGTGGGGCATGTCTGGAGGGTGTGTGCATGTGTGTGGGGTGAGTGTGCATGTTATGCTGTCCTTCTTTACGCCTCTAATGTCTGCTATCCGTTTTCATGCGTTCATTCAGCATATTCGCATAACAGCTTCTAATGAATATGTAGGTGAGTTCTGCTCTATTGCTTTCATTATGTTTTGAAGGAATTTCCACTTTTGAAGAATTTTGAGTTTGATTTTTTTTTTAAAAGATTTATTTATTTATACATGCACTGGGTACAGTCAGAAGCGCGGGAGGGTGAGAGAATTCACCAGAGCCAGAGCCGGGAGCAGAACAGGCAGAAGGACCGAAGTACACTGCTGAGGGGAGCAGCGGGCGGCAGGAGAGGTCTGCGCGCCATGTGGGACCCTCCTCCGGTGGCCGGGAAGCAGCCAGGGATCGAACCGGCGCTGCAGAGGCTACGGGCAGCTTCGCAACCCAGCGCTCAACCGCTGCGCCACCGGGGAGGCCCTGAGTTTGATTTTTTGGCAAGGGTTGCGTTCTCACTCTCTCTTCCCAGAGAGATTAGTATGCATGTGTGTGCTTTGGCAATGGTTTGGTGAAGATGAGGCCATCAGAGGCGCTGCCCCCAGTCAGGATGGTCTGCCCTGCAAGGCTCTGCCCTCTCCCCTGAGGTGACAGGGAGGCCTCCCCCTGGGATGCGGGTGGACAGCAGTGACAGCCTGAGGGTGAGGGTGGTAGCTCTTTGAACACCACAAGACAGCAGCTGCGAGAACTAAGTGTCCAGCCTGCCTGCCCTCCATGACTCTGCTTATCAGGTCGGTGAATGAACAAAGAGTGATGCAGGCACAACCTCTTTCCAGGCTGTGACCAGGAATCTCATGATATTTGTCCTTTTGTGACAGGCTTATTTCACTCAGCAGAAGGCCTCAGGCTTCATGCGTGTGGTAGCAGGTGTTACGACGTCTTTCCTTTTTAAGGCTGAATAACACGCCTTTGTCTGGATGGATCATGTCTTTCTTATCTATTTATCTATCATGGGCACTTGGGTTTTGTACCTTTTGCTGTTGTGAACAGTTCTGCTGTGAACATGGATGTGCCAATATCCATTTGAGTTCTGGCTTTCCATTCTTGAAGGTACAGACTCAGAAGTGGAATTGCTGGATCAGATGGTAAGCAGTATTTAATTTTTGTTAAAGATTTATTTATATTTATACAAGAACCTGGGTACAGGCCAGATATGCGGGAGAGTGAAAGGATTCACTGGAGACAGTGCGGGGAACAGAACAGGCAGACTAAAGAAATACACTGCTGAAGGGAGCAGCAGGCGAGACAGGAGAGGTCCGCTTCGCCATGTGGGATTCTTGCCAGCCAGCTGGCTGGGATCGAACCCGCGCTGCAGAAGCTGTGGACAGCCTCACAGTGCGGTGCTCAACCGCCTGTGTCACCAGGGAGGGCCTATATTTAATTTTTTTTTAACTTCTTTTTTTTAAAAAGAACTGGGGTACAGGTCAGAGGCACGGGAGGGTGAGAGAATTCACCAGAGACAGAGTAGGGAGCAGAACAGAGCAGACAGAGCAGCGGGCGAGGCAGGAGAGGTCTGCCACACCATGTGGGAATCTCCCTGGCTGGCCAGGAATTGAACTGGCGCTGCAAAGTCTGCAGACAGCTTCACAGCACAGCGCTCAACCCGCTGTGCCACCAGAGAGGCCCACTATATTTAATTTTTTACAGAACTGAATTGCAATTCTTTTTATTATCAAAAATGCTCACTGAGGATGACATATGAAAGCAGCATATAGTAGGGCTCCGCGATTGACTATGCTTCTGGAAATTGCGTCGTTTCCCTGATGAAGGCAGAGCTGTACCTTGCTGGGCCAAACCTATATCTGCTGCCCCTGGTGGGGGTGGAATGGGAGGAGCAAGTCTTCCAGTGAAACCCCTTCTCAATCCCAGACCAGGGTGGTTTCTGGTGAGTCTCACCAGAAGTCTCATTTCTAACCCCCCAAACCACAGGCTGAAGGAAATAGAACCTCCCATTGGGGAGAAGCCACTCCTGACACAGGCTAGGAGACCTGTCCTGGGTGACCTGGCACCTGTGAGGGGTACCCTGGCGATCTCATGACAAAGTGGGATGCTCACTCTGCCTGGAGAGAAAACTGAGTCTAAACTCAAGCTAGATGAAAATGGTAAGAAAAGAGTGGGGTTCAGACCCTAGCATGGGCTGACCCTGAGCCAACCCAGACCTCCGTGCAGTCCCACATGTGATTCCATGTTGCCCCTCTGCTTCAGCACCAGGAGCCAGGGTGGGGGACACTTAACCGCCAGGCCTGGCATGCAGTGGTGCTTAACTGGCTTGTCGGAGGAATGAAAACAGGAAAGATGAGAAATCCAGAAGTGACAGAGCTGAGTGGGGAGACAGGATGTCAAAGTGCTCGTGTCTGAATTAGCCCCTTCGCCCACCCTCATTCCGTGGTCACTTTGCACCCCTTCAACCAGCACTGAGGCTGGAACAGCCACCGTGGACACCAGAAGAGCTGCGGGTCAGGAGACACATCCTGATGTGTGTTTTGGAAAGGGGTTTTCAGTCCGCGGTCACCAAGGACAGCAGACTTGGGAGAGGTTGCTGGGCGGGGAGCTCGAGAGAGAAGTGTGTAGAGCAGAGGAGCCGGCACTCCTCGGGGCTCTGCAAGCCCCCATTGCCAGCTCAACATGTGCGCTGATGGAACAGCAAGCACGTCTGGGAGTCCCGCTCAAACCTCCAGCTTTTTCTCTAGGAAAATCTAGTGAAATTTGGCCTTTAGCTAAACTTTTATTTCCAAGCAGATTACAAAATATGAGAGTAAAGAACAATCTGGGTGAAACTGTTTTTGCCATTTTCAGTTCGTTTTCTTCCAGCGTGTCTTGCTTCCAATAGGTTTCCAGAATATTTCAGTTTCAAAACGTTGGAGCACAGATTCACAAAGTGAATTTTTAAGTGTCAGGTTTCAAAGTAGGTTGGCTTTGACAGTGGCCTGGGCTTCTGAAAAATTTGGTAGAAAAATGTTTTGGTTCTAAAATATTCCAAAAAGTGTTTCCCAGGGCACAGAGCTCCCACAGTGCTTTGAAGGGGCTAGGGCAGGGGCGTGTGAGGAGACTGCAGGGGGGCACCCCTGCCTGGGGAGGCTCTGTTTGCTCAGTGGAAGGGGTTCTGCACGCCCACCCTGGCTGGTGTCTGGCTCCAGCGAATTTGTTTTGTCTCCAGTTGACCTCTGAGGACATTCTGCTGATGGGGGGCTCATTTGTTTGTGGGGGGCTCTTTCTTTCTGACCTAAATCTGCATGCCTGCTTCCCTGTCCACAGAGGTCATACTCTAAGTAGAAAGCTGACTGAACTTTTTAAGGAAGGAGGGCTTATTTGGGAAAAAGCATACTCATACTCAAGAAACTTGTGGAAGTTTCTTGTAAAGTTGTGGGCAGTCCGTGGAATCTTTTGGGTTATTGGTCCCATTTTCCAGATGGGGAAATTGAGACCCATGAGGCCAAGGATGATCTGTGTTACTCAAGAAGCCAGGTATTCTAAGCCTAAGACTGTCTCTTCCCAAACCCTTCCTAGCACTGCTTAGGAGCACCACCCGCACTGAGGCCCTCCCAGCCCATGGGTGCAGAGACCGTCTGTCTGTCCAGGCAGGCCGGGGTCTTTGGTGGCAGGCCCAGCCTTTGGAAGCGCCAACCCAGGAATAGACAGCAGTGGAAGGAAGGGCTAGGCCTGGCCCTGGGCTGCTTGGCCCTCAAACTGTTGACATGGAGAAGTGGGGAGATGTGGGGAAGGGCACAGAGCTGACAGTCAGCCGCATGTCCTCGGGGTGGGGTGATGTGGAGACTCAGTGTTGGCAGAGAGGCCCAGAGCAGAGGGAGGAGAGAGGAAAAATCAGGCTTAGGAAAAACATCGCAGCCCAGGGAGTGGCTGGGCATTAACCCCGTCACTCCCCGGGGCGGCAACCCCACCCTGGTCGGCAGTCTGTCTTGGAGCCCAGAAAGTTTGCCTGAGATGTGCCAATTAATTTCAGGGCCATGTCCTGTCCAGCATAGCTCATGCCACCTGGGTGGCTGCCAAGGAGAGCTGGACTCGTCTGTGCTTGTTACCCGTATGATGAGGACGTCCAAGGCCTCCTGCTCCCTCCAGAAGCCAGTGCTGAACCCCCCGCCCCTTCCGCCACAGCAGATCTCAGGATGTTATCAGGAGTAAACAGTCAGTGTCCACCAGGAGGCTGGTGGCACCCAGCCGCATTCTCTGCATCCTCTATCCTATGGCCCTCAAGCCCACAGCTGATGAGACAGCAGGTAGCGGCAGCTTTTGCTCTCCATCCTGTCGTCCCCTCTCTGAGATGGGACTATTTCCATCCTGACAGACCCAGTTGGGGAAATCAAAACCCCAAGTTGGTGGTTACCTGGCCTGGAGATAAGGCTCGGTGAGGTGAGATGTAAGCCTTGAGTTATTTGCTTAGAGGGCCCAGAAACACCGAGACTGAGGTCTCTGAAGCTTCCAGGCCTTGGGGTATAGGCTGAGAATGAGTTAAGTGGTCCCCATGCAGGACAGGTTGCTTCTGGCCCCACCATGCTGTGGGATTGGGGTCCTGATGCTGGGTCTCACCTCTCCAGGGGCCAGCAAGCTCCCAGGGCCTGGACAAGAGCTTCTTTACCTTTGCTCTCTGTTGGCGTCCTGGGCAGGCAGGCTGTCCCGATGAGCTGGAAGGACTGAATGTCATCCGAAAGCAGCTGGGCAGTGGGAAGGCGCTGCACCTTCCCTGGACATTGTTTTTTTTTTTTTTTTTAAGATTTATTTATTTATTTATTTATATAACCACGGAGCACAGTCAGAAGCATGGGAGGGTGAGAGAACTCACCAGAGACAGAGCGGGGAACAGAACAGGCAGACTGACGAAATACACTGCTGAGGGGAGCAGCGGGCGGCAGGAGAGGTCTGCGCACCATGTGGGCCCCTCGCTGGTGGCCGGGGATCGAACCGGCACTGCAGAGGCTGCAGGCCGCTTTGCAGCCCAGTGCTCAACCACTGCGCCAGCAGGGGAGGCCCCCTTCCCTGGACATTGGATATGGGCGCTGGTCACTTCCTTCCTGCTGTGTTGGGCCCACCTGGCCAGCTTCATGACTCTGTTGCCTGCCTAGCCCTTGATGGCATTTGGGTTGGTCACCCCTACAGCCCAGGATCCCCATTTTTGGGAAATGGAACTTGGCAGGGTCACTGAGAGGGGAGGTGTAGAGCCGGCTGGCTGCTTCCGGCCTGTTTGTGCCATGTTCCTACCCTCAAGTAACAGTGACCAGCCTGAAGCCTTTTGGCAGCCTTTTGGCAGCCTCCGTGGGCTC